TTATTTTCAACACATGTCTGGACTCAGTACAGGATTTCAGGATGTCCTTGCAATGACTCAGCAGCTAGAATCCATGAAATACTACAAAGATGGTACTTATATCATGTGATAGAAATTTGTATTTGCCAAAGGAGATGTAAATGGTCAAGCTAATGGATTCCATATTTGTACTTTTGCTGGAAGATCTTGCACATATATGTACAGAAACAAATGTACTATATATTTCAATTTTTGTAAGTGTACTATCTTTGTTAATTGGATTGAGATGCTTTTATAAAGGAAATAAGGACTTGAATACTTGCTGTAAATGTGAAAATAATTGAAATCTTATATACTGTACTTGGTGTTTATTAAACAGAAGTCTTGAAACTTGCAGATGAGCACAGATATATTCCATACTTTCTCTGAAGTGTGGAACATCAGTATTTTAATTTCTTATTAGCAGTGGGAAATAGAAGTAGTTTATATTGGAATGCAAACAATCAACTGGGCACTACTTTTCTGTCTTTTAATGATAGCTTGAAGACTCTTGGATTGAAACAAACACTTTATTATGGGGATTAAAAAACATCAAGTCCTGTGTTTTGCATACTTTGTTAGATAATAGAAATATACCACTTTTATATTATGTCTCAGCATACAGATCTGATTTCTACATTTCTAATGCACCAGAGCAAAGATATGTTACCACTTTACATTTGTATCAAACTATTTTTAGACGCAAAATCCACAGATTTAACAGTGAGAAATAGGGAAGGGAAGAAAAACGAAAATACTTTTTCCTGGGAAGACTCAGATCATAACTCAAACCACTTAAAACTTCTTGTACTTTTTATATGAATAACTGCAAATTGCAATATTTGAAATCTAGAAGTAATAAATCAGTGAGCATCCTAGCTCACTCAGCTAAACTTCATCTCTTCAAGATGTGTTATCCTGTATTTTACTCACTTTTTTTTAGTAATACCATGACAGCTGCAGGTGTACTGTAGCCAACTGTATCTCCATGTATTACCTAGGGAAGAAGTTCAGGTTTAGAATGCTAAACTGTGAAAGTAGTCTTTGACTTGACAAGTTGCTGAAATGAACAGGAAATTGAGACTTCTTGATTGGAAAGTGAAAGAGTGTCTTTAAGAAAGAGTTATGGATGCTGAGGACTTAACACTGCAAAGAAAACAAATCCATGTGTTTAGTGAAAACCTGTCAATGGGGTAATAAAATACATCTTCAGAGGTAGTTGTGCTTACATCTGTTCACAGGTTTCTTTTGCCCCCTTCTTGTCTGTAGCACATTAATATTTTCCTAGAAATTTAAGAAAATAATTCAGTGGTTAACAAGAACAAATACCTCCTTCACCATCCCATGTATCATGGCAGTATTGTTTTGTTGCACTGTTTTCTTGTTTCTGGTATTCAGTGGTTCTTGAATACCATAATAATAAGAATAGACGTGATGTTAGTGAAATTGAAGGACAGAGCAGAGTAATAAAGGAATGATATAATTGGAGATTTACCAGGAATGCAGTTAGGTGTGTCCTTAAGCCATTCTGTTTGTCTTGTTACCAGATTGTTTATACCACTTCTGTGGTTTGTTTTGTTACTCTTGAAGTAATTCCTCCAAACACTGTCTGCAATACAAGACTGACTTGGAAAACTGTGGTCAGAAAACTTCTAGAAGTTGCATTGCATTTGTGTAGTGTGGTGAAGATAAAGTGCATAAATTGCAGTCCCTCGTGTCTTGGGACAGTGCTGAAGAGTCAGCCACCTCCTCAAAGCTGGATCCTGTTCTCTGCCCATTTACACAGTGTTTTTCTTACCTTGCCACCTCCAGAAGGCTCGTCACTTGATGAGCTACAGTTATGCGCAGTCTAGAACTAGGGTGATATTTTGGTTTTGAAACCAATCTCAGACTAAAATTTTCACTTAATGTTTGCATATGCAACTCCTGTTTTGAGGTGGTTGTACTAGACTTGATAATATTTCAGCAGACCCCATTGTGACACGAAGATGATGAAAAGGAGGGTGATTATGTCTTTTAAATCATTATCTTAGCCCAGTTGTAAAGCTTTTGTGCTTGCCACTGCTTCCTGAGCAAATGGCCATTTCCTACTTCAGCTGTAGCGGCAGAACCCAAAATGAATCAAGGTGGTTGGCACTGTGATCATGGCAGTGAAGATGAGCCCATACCTGTATATTTCACAGGCAAGTGCAAACCTGCATCTTAGCTTGCATTTGGCAGGTTTTTGCATGTTACCCAGCACACATGCACAATGTTCTTCCTGGCTCTCCTGGCCAGAAGATGGTGGCTACTGTCTATCTTACATTGTCTATCTTACAACATCCATCTTAAATTTGTTTAGTCTGGCAGTAATACACAGAAGAAGGGTTCAGGATTCCCCACAAGATCTATTTGGATTGTGCTGTGTGGGCAGGTTTTCAAACCACAGGTGGAGGCCAGTTGACTAATATCTTAGTACTGGGAGGGCATGGGGAGGTTCAGTCGAGTCACCTGATCTATATGCAGAGTTGCAACAAAACACTTCGGAAGATTAAACGGGTTTAAAAGGAACTCCGAGCGAGCAGTACGTGTGTATATAAAGAGGAAAATGTTCGTGTTTTCCAGTAACGTTTTATTTCCTGATGCAGAAGCCACGGGGTCGTAAGCAGGGCACGAGTTGCGGGGGCGCGGCGGCCAGTGGGCGGCCAACCAGAGGCGGCGCCTGGGGGTGAAAGGAGCGGTGCGTGCAGCGCAGCCCGTGCCGCCGCTCTCCTGTCCGGCGGGCTCGCCTCGGCGCGTGTGCGATGGGAGCGGAGCGGGGTGTTGTGGCTCGCGGGGAGGCACCTGCGCGGCCCTTCGTCTCCTGCTCGCTCCTTCCCTTCCCTTCAGGGTACAGCCTGGGAGCTTGGCGAGGAGGGCGGTGGGTGTGTGCGTGCCCGTTTCTCTTTCTCTGGGACAGCCCGTTGGTTCCCTCGCTCTGCTGCCCTTCAGCCCGCTAGCGCGAAGGGGAGCTGCCCTGAAGCTTCGCATCTACGGCCCTTCGGCTCCGAAGCCGTGCAGAGCTCTTGCCCCGGCTCCGTTCCTCCAGCACGCCGGCGCTGCCTGCAGCGCTACCCCGATTCCCCCGTTCCCGCGGCGGTGCAGCGCACACCCACACTCGTCGTCCCGCTGACCACCCTTCTCTTTCCCTCCCCTGCAATCCCACTCCGCAGCCGATCCCTCGAAAGAGAAGAGCGCGCCACCCGTCCCCAAGAATGGGACGGCGATCGCCCCCACGATGGTGGGACATCGGCACTGCACGGCTGAGCCGAAAGCGCGCCCAGCCGCCAAGAAGTCGTCAAGTTGAAGGGAGACCACGGGCAGCCGAGTGTCAAGCAGGCCGCCGCCCCGGGGAGGATGGTTACCAGGAGGCTTTTGCCACGGAAAACGTGCCGCCGCCAACCCCGGACTCCCAGCCGAAGTCCCAGTCCCGGCCTCTTTGTACTGTGTGCCCCTTCCCCAGCCCAGTGCTTGGCTGCTGCTGAGATAGACCTGTGCCTTCCTCTGGTACCCTGAAATAGGGGTCATGAGCACCTGCAGTGCTCCATGCTGCAGGACTGCGGCTTGGCCCACACTGGCTATGGAAGGAGGTGCTGTCAGCACTGATTTTCTGAATTTCCTTGTAGTCAGAGCATCAGTCTCCAAACCCCATGGAAATACAGAATGTCATCCAGCAGAAGACACATGCTATGTCAGGCTTTTTCTAATATCTTGCTTGAGTCTGAAGACCCAGACATGGATGATAGTAATGACCCAAACCTGTGTAGCACTATGTGAAGGACATCTACAATTATCTGAGACACCTGGAGGTTGGTAGGCGTCTAACGACATTTGCAGTAAACTGTCCCTGTAGGTGTGGCTTCCTTGGAGCAAGGATTTGCTTTCACTGATGACTTCTCCAAAGGCATTAGAAGCCTCCTTCAGCTTCAAAGTATAGGATTGAACTCAGCTGATATTATGAAGAGATGCTGGTTGTTAGACCAATCAATTACTAATACTAGTACTGTGCTCTTTCTAGCCCATGTCTAGTGAGCAAGGAAGCTCTGTGCCCTGTGGTCTACACCCACAGGTTATGTGTGTACCAAACTTCTGGATAAGGACAGGAGAAGAGGAAATGGCACAAGCTGTGCCAGGAGAGGTTCAGGTTGGACATGAAGAATTTCTTTATTGAAAGGGTGGTCAGATACTGGAATGGGCTGCCCAGGGAAGTGGGAAAGTCACTCTCCAGAAGTGTTCAAGAAGTGACTGGAAGTGTCAGTTGACAAAGGGCTTTTACCCTGGGCTAAAGCATGAATGCTGGTCAGTAACACCCTACGTGGCTGGACATACCCTTAACAATACATATGAGCAACAAAGGACATTTGATTCTCAATTGTATATACCACAAAAAGCTCTTGGTTATGAACAGTGAGTTGATGTATCAAAACTCCTTATTCCTCTCCCTGATTTGAACTCAAGGCTTTCTAACACTCCTGCAGGTGCTAACAGAGGATGTGTAGTTACTCTGTGCAAGTGGGTATGAACATCCTGCTATATAACAAACCTTACACTGACCACCTTGAAAATGTGTGTTCTGAACCAAGTCATTTAGATAAATCTCTACAACTTCTTTCTACAGAAAATGCTGTTTCCAAGGTGAAATGTTGTAGCTGGTTGGTGTCATAGCTATGTACATTGTCCCAAATATAAGGAGATTCTTCACCCATATATTGGAGACTTTAGCAATGCAGCTGACCACGCTTGCTCAAAGGTCCATATCCACCACATGGAGATGAAGATCTTGAACGCCCTGGACTTCTCTCTGGGTTGCCCTCTCAGCACTGCCTAAGAAGAGATTCAAAGTGTTTTGATTGCAGAAGTGTTGAGAACAGGTGTTACTGTGAATTGAATCTGGAAATGGCAATACTTAACTGTGGCAATTGTTGAAATGGCTCAAAATTTTTGAGTACTGCAGTTGTGCCTGGCTGAGACCTGTCTTCCATGTAGAAATGAGTTTTATTTATCTGTTCCTGTGACATGAGCCAGCCACGTGTAGGAGGCAACCAGAAGAAGCCTTGTCTCTGGGAGGATTTCACCTGGCAACACCTCACATGGAACAGGTAGTAGGAGACACTGAACTCCCCAGAGGTACTTGTCCAATCAGATGGTGAAAGGTTGGACTGGGCCAGTGGTCTCCTGCCAGCAGACAGGCTTTGGGAGGAGCCAAGGACATAAAAATTGTGTCACAATGGCCCGGGACTTTTTGAAACTTGCTTTTTACGTGAGGGTTTTTGGCTTGGGGCTTTTTTGAGAGTCTGCTTTTGCATTTGAGGCTTGGTGATTAGAGGCGTTTTTGAATCTTATATTTCTGCTTTGGCTCCAGCCTGCTGAGGTCTGCTTCTTGCCCCGGCCCTAGCCTATTTTTGCCTTTTTTTTTTTTTTTACTGAGTGAACTAGGTTGGAAAATACCTTTGAATCAACTAGTCTAACCTGTGACCTAACCTAACACCTCCTCATCAACTAAACCATGGCACTGAATGCCATATTCAGTCTTTTTTTAAACATGCCCAGGGACAGTAACTCCACCACCTCCTTGGGCAGCCAGTTCCAGTGCCCAATCACTCTTCCACTGAAGAATTTTTTTTTTTTTTTTCTGACATCTAATCTAAACTTTCCTTGGCACACCTTAAGACTGTGTCCTCTAGTTCTGTCAGTGCTTGCCTGGAGAAGAGACTGACTCCCACCTGACTACAGCCAGGCAGTTGTAGAGAGTGATAAGGTCTCCCCTAACCTTCCTTTTCCCAGGCTAAACAACCCCAGCTCCCTCAGCTGTTCTTCATAGGGCTTGTGTTCCAAGTCCTTCAGCAGCCTTGTTGCCCTTGCCTGGATGCGATCAAGTGTCCCAAAATCCTTACTAAATTGAGGGGCTCAGAACTGGACACAGTACTACTCAAAGTGCAGATATTCAGTTGTAGTGTAAGTAAGCCTAGTTCTATGCAGCGGCTCTCTTCACTTCGTGTTTCTTTTTTGCAGTCAATTTTTTACTTCCGTTAGTAGCTTGCACCTATTGCTTCTACCTCCAGGCGAACACTAGGTCAGAGGGTGTAGTACTGCATTTTAATACTACAATATCGCAACAAGAGGCAAGGAGTATTGCGCTTTACCTAGGGCTCTGCCAGTGTAATTTTCTTTTTTTCCCTTGCACGTACGGGACCAGCGCCACCGAAAGCTGGGCCGCCCCTCCCGGCACTGCTCTGCGCAGGCGCAGGGCGCGCGGGCCGCCGGGAGCCGCGCGGTTTGAAAGTGCAGCCATGGCGGCGGTGACCCGGGATTCGGCTCCAGCCCCAGCTCCGGCCCCGGCGTGGTCCCAGGGCAGCGGCGGAGGCTACGGCGACGTGGATATCCCCACTCTGCTCCGGTTAGTGCCGGCGGGACGGGACGGGGAGCAGCCCAGGGGTGGGATGAAGGGATACGCAGCCTCTGACCGTTGTCGCTTTACTCCCGCCGCAGCCTGAGGGACCGAATGAAGGAGCAGCTTATAGAGTACAACACGGCTGTTCTTGCTAGTAAGTATATCCCTCCTCGCAGTAGGATGTTGCACTAACAAAGAATGGCATGTGGCGTTTACATTTATATTTTAATATTTTTATATATAAATATATACTTACATAGGGGTTTTTTTAAATATTTTCTTTAATTATTTATCAAAAGTGCTCCTTACGATAGTGATGGGGTTTCTTGCCCTGGCTGAACATTTTAAACACATTTTCTAGGCAGCTTTCCAGATATATTTGAATGTTTGTAAAGATGCCATATAGCTGCTGCCCACTGCCCTTTCCTTCCTTTTCTGGGTTTGACCTTTAGGCTCCTCTGACATGTAGTGATGGTTTTCAGAAATCTGGTCACTGGGGCTGAAGTCTTGCCAAAAGCTTGCCAAAGTGTTTGCCAGCAATACTGATTTAAGGTGTTTCCATTACCTGTAGAGTCACAAGATGATTTGGGTTGGAAGGGACGTTAAACAACTCTGGTTCCATACCCCCCACCATGCACAGCCGCTTCCACTAGACTGTCAGAGCCCTATTCAACCTGACAACCTGATCTGGAACACCCCCAGGGATGAGACATCCACAGCTTCTCTGGGCAATCTCTCTACCAGTGCCTCATCACCCCACAGTATATCTAATATAAACCTACCCTCTTTCAAACACAAACTGTCACCCCTTATGCTGTCACTACATATCCTAGTAAAAAGTTCTTCTCCAGCTCTCTTATGATCGCCATTCAGGGACTGGAAGGACTCAGCAAGGTCATCATGCGACCTTCCAAGCTGAACAGCCATTCCCTCAGCCTTTTCCTCATAGGAAAGGTGCTCCAGCCCTCTGATCATCTTCAGTGCCCTCTTCTGGACCTTCTGTAACAGATCCATGTCCTTCTTATATTGGGAATCCCAGGCCTGGATGCAGCACACCAGGTGGGGGTCTTCCAAGAGCTGAGTAGAGGGCAAAATCACCTCTCTTGACCAGCTGGCCACATTTCTGATACAGCCCAAGGTGCAGCTGGGTACATGCTCTTCCAGTGAACTATCCAGTGCCATATATAGAGCAATGTCATGAACCAGCTCTAGCTCATCTAAAAAATGCTAAATTAATTATTTCTCTGATACAGCTGATTGATAGTGTAGCCTCATTAACAGTAAAAGATAATAAAGCTTTGAGGTAGAAGTAAGAAATAACTTGTTCACACAAAAAAATGCTAATCCTTTATGCTCTATAGATTGTATTTAAAAGTTTCTGTTGTACTTGTTTTAACAATGTTCTCTTTTGCAGGTCAGGAAAATTTCCTTGATCAAGGAATTGAAGAAGACTTTATCCAGAGGTATGTCACTGGATAACTTCAAAATTCTCTTCTGTTATTCATTCTTAGTGAATTGCTGGATTTACAATCAGTACTTCAGAGAAGATTGGTGAAAATAATGGAAACTAAGAGGAAACATGGGGAAGAAATGCTTTATTCATTCTCCCAACATACTTCTGTATCTGATGTGGCTTTTAAATTTGCAGTCCTTTACATGATGTCTAGAATTCACTAATATAGTTCCACATGCTAAATTACTCCTGGCCCTAATGATTTGTGGCTCACATGAAAAATTCTTACATTAGGTATGTAGAAAGCAAGTTAAAATGTGACACTGCTTTTAAACTCTGTTGTCTTCACACTCAGTTTTTCTGCCTTATTGCTTTTTGTCTTTCAGTGCTACACAGGATTTGGAAAGAGATATAGAGGAAGCAAAAGTGTCTTTCCAGAACAAAACATTGGCCTTGCAAAGGTAGAATTTTCTTCACCCTTTATTTGGAGCTTTTCTCTGTGTGTGTGCATACATAGATGCATATATACATAGGTCTGATTAAAAGAGGAGTTTAAAATGATATGGGAGATTGGGGAGGATTTTAAGTACCATTGAACAATAGGAATGCAGATGGATATGCTGTAGAAAACAAAACAAAAAAAAGCCCACCAAAACAAAAAACTTACAGGCTGAAATGTTACACCCATAAGTTCCTTTACAATGTACACCCATAAGTTCCTTTACAGTTGGTAAAGAGTGACTGTACAGATCAGTAAGCATATTTCTTGGCAGCAGTTTCTAAATGCCTATGAAAAGAGGGAAGTCGATAATGTTAGACACCCCAAGTGTTTCATAGCTGTTTATTTGAATTCACACCTTTGCCCAGCTTCCTTTCTGCAGACTCTGGGATTAATGGTGTCCAAATATGTTGGTCAAGAGAAAAAGGAGTTGTCATTCTCACAAATCATCATTGATACGTCTTTCCTGTCCTGAGAGTTAAGCCCCATTATTTAGGAAGTGTGGTATTTAAAAGGTACTGAGTATTTTGTTTATATAATTCCAATGTGAAAGTGGACGAAAGCGGAATCCTGAAAATTATGTTCTTATATTACCTATTTAAATCTACTTCTCTCTGTTTCCTGCTTCTCTTAGTTTCTTCTAAGTTCTCATCAGTCATATGCTATTTCTTGCAACATGCAGGATCCAAATTATGGATGCCCTGAGAAACAAATTGAAACAAGAGGATGAGGACTCACGGTAAGATGTTCTTGGGAGTCAGACAGTTAGAAAGCAATGGACTTTGCGCAGTTTACTGTGACACATTTCTAGGTCATTTCATTTCACTTCTTGTAAAAGCAAGCTGCCTTTTTCTGGATTTGACAGAATTATAAACTGTCTATCTCCTAGCTAGAATCAGCATGATCAGACTTAATACACCCATGGTAGATTTGCAGTTGGGTTCTGAATTTACCTACCTTTGATTACAGAGATCATAACTCTTGATTCACTAGTGAGAACTGCTTGTAGCCAAGAGAGCTTTTTGTCTTTAGTGCCTGAATTACCAGCATTTATAATCGCTAAGCACATTACAGGCTTGTAACAGGGCCTTGTCTCTGCTTTGCTGCTTTTATTAATTAACTATGTGGGAGCAAAATGTCTTTGAAATAGAACTGAAAGCTTAAACATTTTTAAAAGTAGCTTTTTGTTGCCTGCACATTATTAACAGGTGGACGCGTATGAAGTGTAATATGAGAAATTTAATTTCTGTCAGAAATACAGCTAAGAGATTGCATCTCCTTGATTTAGGAGCTTTAATTCATAGTCATTTCCAGATGGCTAGGCTTTCTTGATGCTGTCCAAACTCTGTAATGTAAAATGTTGGACAGACTTAAATGTAATGTTAGGGAAATCGAGAGGCAAGTAACGGAACTCTTTGGCTTCTACAGTGACACTGAGTATATTAACTGTAAAAAGAAGTGATATTGTAAGTGCAAAAAGAAGTGACACATATTACTAATTTGCTGTTAGGAGAAATCAAATTCTTTATTTAAACTAAATAAAGTTGATTAAAACATTTATGATATTGACTCATATTAGTGGTCTTAAGCTATGAAACTGTTTCCTTCCTTAGTCTGATCCTGGAAACAATGAAACGCATAGTATTGCTCAGCCAGACAATAATTGACTATCAGCAGGTAAGTGGCAGTTGTAGCTTCTGTTACTGTTGTGCAGGTCAACCGACCTCAGCGTGGGAAGGAGTGCACTTTGAAAGCAACATGACTGCAAAAGTCATTCAAAGCTAAATATGTGGTGACATGGGTGCAGTTACTACTGCTGTCAAAATTAAGGATTACTTAAAGTGATCATGTAAGTAAGTCTGGTTTAGAGTTACCCTTAGCTGTTTTTGTGGATTGAATTAGCATCTTTCAGTATTTTTGAAGACAAGAGTCTGGAAAATACTTTTTTTTTTCCTTTCAGCAAGTATGTCAGAAGGAACAGCAGCTGATTGAAATTAAAAGGGAAAGACTCTGTAAGTGTGTTATCTGTACTGACTTTGGTTTGTATTTTAATGTAGAGTTCATATTTTAAAGTTATTCTTGTAGCAATATTAATTTACATGGGAAGTAACAAAACTCAACACAGTTATAAAACTTGTTAAAAGAGAAATTTAACATCTCTCTACTGTAGAGATGAGCTGGTGTGTTCCCTACTTGTGAGACTGACACATTAGAATGAAAGATGTAAAACAACACTCAAAAACAATGTGGAAGTATTTTATTATTTCATGTAAGCTCCTCAGAAAGTTACACATTGTTTAGTTATTTTAATCAGCCCTACAGCACCTAAAAGATACTTTTTTGTCATACTGAACATTTATGAGGTATTTGCAGAATAGAGAGGGAATTTACTTAGAAAGAAGGGTAAATATATTGGGTTTCAGTAGTTTTGTTAGAGTGAGTCAAATTTAGATGTGACATCAATATTCAGAACTTCATATGGTAAATGTGTTCTTTAAATGCTCTTTCTTTCATGACCAGGCTTGCCACCAATTTTAACAGCTATTGTTTGTTTCACATGTAGGGAGTTGTGCATATGTTGACAGTAATGAACAAACACAGTGAAATAACTGTTCACATTGGAAAAATGAACATACTGATATCTTTGCAAATAAAGGAAGGAATGCTCTGCCAGCATTCTTTCAACATATGACCTGTCCCTAAACACTTTTAATCAGTCTAGTTTTTAACCTGATTTTCTATAAAAATAGTAATATTCACTGATCATGTCCATATGCTCCTTGTATGACTTTGGAATTTGGTTTCAGTGAAATCTGAAAAAGGAGCAAGGGTCTTTAAAAAGTATAAAAAAGACCTATAAAAGTTGTGGTACTCAAAAACAGGGTATAGGACAGAGATGCAAATTAGTCCCTGTGTGAGGAAAATGGAGGCAGCATACAATGTACTTTGTTTTGATGTTAGCCAGAGAACCAATTGATGTTGTTTGATACCAAGTAGCCACAGCATGTGTTGCTTCTTTCATAAAAGAAATATACTGCGGAATATTGGAGGGAATGAGTGGAGTGTGAAATAAGGATTATGCACTGGAAGTGCTTTAGGTGGCTGTAAGGAAAAGAGTATCTTCAGTTCTACTCTACACCTAACTACTTAATGCTTAATTTTCCTAATAATGTAACAGCACTAAAAAAATATGGAGGACAGAAACTACAGCAAATTCATACCATGATGAAAAAGCAAAAGGAGGAACAAGCAAGAGTGGATGTAACTGAAAAAGAGAAGATGCTTGCTAAATTAGAAAAAGAAAGACAGATGACTACAATAATTCAAAATGTGTTCCAGGTAACGTTGTGTGGCTTTTAGAACCAAGTTTACAAATTTTGATTACACTCAAGATAATATACTGTATGGCAAATATACAGTATATAACAACACAAAATTATTTTCTAAAACTTTTAAGTTTAACAGTGGAAGAACTGTGTATTGAAGGAAGACTTCTACTGCTTTAATGGCTAAGAAAATGAAATTGTCACAAGCATCTTTGCATTATTTGTTTGGAGAGTTTAGAGACAGTCTATCCATCCATCTTTTTTTCCTTAAAGGGACAAAAATAATGCATCTTTCTCGAAGAATGTCTGTCACATAATGGCTGTATTTCCTTCTACTCTGAGTCTCCTCTACACCCTACCAAATCAGTTTCCTCATCTCATGGTTAGAAAAAATAAATAAATATTAATCCCCTGTTACCAGGGAGCATCTGCTCCTTCATCTGCCCCTTCTGGCCTTCTCTGTTTGTGTCACCTCCTACCTGTGAAAGCCTTGGCCTGGCCACGGCCAGTCTCCAAATTCTTTCAGCAGTGTAGACTTTGCCCTTTTGGTTGTCCATGTGTCAGGAGCTGCTAACTAGTCTGTATACATGCAGCAGGTCACCTGCATGTGGGGTCATGCAAAGTTAGGGGAAAAACATCATGGTTTGGGTTAGGGTGGAAGAGTCTCAGGCTGCATAGGAATGTCAAGCACAAAAAGAATGTTTTGACTTTTTGCTCTGCATGCTATGGCTGCTACTGTTTTGCATTGATAATGTTACATCTCAAATTGAAAATGAGAAATTTAACATTGTACTGGGATTTAGATTGGAGTCTAAAACTATCTCCTGGTTTTGCATTCCTGACATTTTCTGAGCCTTAAGTAAAGCAAATCCTCTTTGATTAAATTTAAATTCCCCTTTTCAATCCAGAATGACAGGGTGAGAATCTTAACTGTGTTATTTTTTGTTTGAGGCAAACTTTATTTAACATTGTTAAAAACGTTCTCTAGGTTCCTGTGTTTAACATAGAGGTGGTATGCAAGGCTCTCTAGGAAATAAAAAAGCATGTATTTGGGGGTTTTTTTGCCTATGTATCAACAATAGGATCTAAACCAATACTTCCCTTCTCCTTTTTCCCTCCATCCTGCCTACTTCAAACACTGGTGAATTTCAAGGGCTTTCAAATTAAAATTATTTTAGATATTCTTCTTTTAGATATTTTACTAGGAATTGTCCTTTACAAGGGCTTGTTTTAACCTGTAAATCTTTCTCATTTATAGAACATCATTATTGGAAGTAGAGTTAACTGGGCAGAAGATCCATCTTTAAAGGCAATTGTTCTACAGCTTGAAAAAAATGTGCAACTTCAGTGAGTCAGAAGACATGGTGCTTATTTTATACAGTGTTTATTTTATACAGTGCATTTTAACTAAACTTGATAGATTATATTTATCTCAAAAACACACTTCAAGAATTTTAAAATTTGACCTTTCTGGAAGATTATGTTCTCTTCAGAGAATTAGAATGTGTCAAAGCAGGCAGTAGAGCTGATGAAATGAAATTACCTGAAGACTCCCTTCTCACGCTGTCCTGTCTCAAGCACTTATTTTCCTCTGAAGGGCAGCAAGAATGCCAGAAAAGTTTCAAGGTTTCATGTAGAAGTGGATTTAAACAGAGGATTTGCTGTGACCCTTTCCTGGGGACCAGCAGGCCATAGAGCTCAAGCAGGACCCTGCTCAGTCCCAGTCAAAAGCTCAATCAGGAGAATGTATTAGCAAGTCTGGAGCAGGGATTATTTTTGTTTTTAAGGCACTATCTATCATTTTAAACATCAGAAATTTTATGCTCTTATTAGCATTGACTCTTGTCTGCAGAGATGACTTCATGCTATCGACTGTGCAGCTAAGCAGTATTTTAATTGCATGTCTTCACTAGCATTTGTGCTTTTTTCAGTTGCTGTTGTTTGTTTGATATTTGAAGGAAATCGACTCTTGGGGTGTAGCACACTTTAGGAGGGTGTAGTGTCCTTGTTATCTTGGTGTTGTAACTTCGCTTTTAAGTTGGTGAGTGATCACTAGCTATTTTTTGAAGGTGGATGCCTTGATCTAATAATAAAAATAAATTTTCCTGAAAATGTTGTACTTGGTTCGCAGTTTTTTTAACTCCCGGTAAAGCGGCTTGCCGAGCAGGCCGCGCCACTGCTCCGGGCCCGCCCACAGACAGAGGCCCCGCCCACGGCCGCCGTTCGTGGCCGTGGGCGGGGCCCGGAGCTGCCCTCAGGCTCCTCACCATGGGCAGCAAGATGGCGGCTGCTACCCGGGCGGTGCAGGTAAGGGCGGCCCCGGGACGGCGGTGTCTAAGACAGCCAGAACCCTGACACGGGCGGCAGGCCTCGCTTCTGCTGCCGCCGGCGAGCAGCAGGTCTGAGGCGGCCGCGGCTTGAGGACATGCCGCCGGGGCGGCCGATGTCCTTGGGGAGAGCTGTGCAGTCGCGCGCACACGCTGTCGGAGGTGCCGGGTGCTGTGATAGCAGCGGGTGCGGAGCTGGCTGGCAGCTGCTTCCTAAGATGGGCCTCTCCAAGGTGAAAGTGCTTTGTACAGGCAGAGCACAGCTCGCGATTCCGTGTGCAAAGCGCTGTGGAACCACGGCATGGTTTGGATCGGAAGGGACCTTAAAGGTCACCTAATTGCAGCACTCCCCGCCGTAGGCAGGGACACCTTCATTAAATCAGGTTGTTCAAAGCCCCGTCCAACCTGATCTTAGGCACTTCCAGGGATGAGACAGCCACAGATGCTCTGGGCAACTTGTGCCAGTCCTTCACCAGCCTCAAAATAAAGAATTCCTAATCTTTCCAGTCCAAACCTGCCCTTTGGGTTGTAAGGTCTCCCCAGAGCATTCTTCAGGCTGAACAACTCTAGCTCCATCAGCCTGTCCTCACAGGAGAGGTGCTTCAGCCCTCTGAACATCTTAATGGCCCTGCTATGGACTCACTCCAGCATGTCCATGTTTTTTGGTTTTTTTTTTTTTTTTTGCTTTGGGGACCCCAGAGCTGGACACAGCACTCTGGGTGGGTTCTCACCAGAGCAGAGTGCATTGTGATTGAATTCATGCAATGGCAGTGGCTGTTTCTGCACACACACACTGAGGAAAAAGGAAGACAAAGTCTGTACCTGCTCTGGACCTCAGGGTGCAGGAGTACTTCCTGGGGTAAACTTAGGAGTTCAAGAAGCAGTAAGTGTATCAGAGTAGTGGTGCAGAAAGCAGCCGTGTAGAGTGGTTGTTTGATACATTGTGCATTCTATTTTATTATTCACAGTAACCTGTGTCTATTTCTCCCGCTACCTGGTCTCCTTCTAGGTAGTCAAGCCGCATACTCCATTAATAAAGTTCCCAGACAGAAAAAGTGGTCCCAGACCTAAAAGTAAGTATTTTGGGTATGGATTCAGATTGCGCCATATTTCTTTACATGTACTGTTTTATTTAAGAACCAGGACCCAATTTCTCTCTTTCAGCTATACAGCTGAACTGAGTTGGAGTGAGGTTTTTGAAACATGCTTGGTTTAGTTTGAAGACAACTTTTGAACTTCCTCCACAACTTTTTTTTTTCTATGCAGCTGTGTGTAGACACATAGTGCATGCAGATTTTTTTTTTTTTCAAGAAAGTTTCACAAGGATTTCCAGTGTTTGTTTTCTACTTGGTATAAAGTCACACTTTCCCAAATATTAATATTTACTGAAATTACTGTGCCCAAGTCAGTTTGAAGCAGATTTAGTTTTTCAGTGATATTTGCATAAATGATGTTGCATTTTCCTCATTTTTTTTCTTAGGTGAAGTGTGTGATGTATTTTCTGCTGTATTTTCAAAACATTATTATAGCTGGGAGATCCAGCCCTTTGTACATTTTAAGAAGTATTTTCTTGTGTACTAACTAATGCTGAGGGAAAAAATATTTCATTGCAATACTTGACATTAACTTTTATACCTACGTTGATATTTATGGTATTCCCAATACTATTATATTTAAAAACAGACTTATATTAGCAATACGTTGATTTAGAAGTCCTTTTGGGTGAAAAAGCATCTGAAAGAAAAGTAGGAGTTATCTTTAAAAGCTCTGTTATGTTATTCTCACTTCTTTTGATATTATACTGTGCCTAGTTATTTGTCACAACATTATCAAGCCCACAGTTTAGCTTTAAGTTTAGTTTAACATTTGAAAACCTCCACAGTGCATATAAATGCCTCTTCTGACTTGCCTGTGAACTTTAAAGGAACTATTTTCTGCAATAACTTTCTGTAAAAATTCTGTATATTTTGCACAGCTCAGCCAAATGCACCACCTCTCATGCCAGTGAGTTACTTTCTCAAAAGCTTGAAAATGTGTTTCTGACCTCTTGTTTATCTCTGTGTCAGAAGATTCTTGTGACTGTATCTTTTAAGTGTGTTAGACTTTCTACCTTCATCAGGATCTGTCATCTTGTTAGTAAACTGCAACCTACTTTGTCTTGCTTGAATGCTGTATCAAAATCTGCATTTAATTGTACCAGATTGTTGCTCCTACATCACTAAATGGTTCCTCAGAGCAACTAGGGATGTGAAAGGCCAGCCAGATTCTAGTGGGCCTCATACTACTGCAACATTACGGTCTCAAACAGGGAAGGGAGAGATGTAGTAGAGACTGTAACAGAACTAAAACAGCAACAGTAAAAATTCTGATTACTGCACTTCTGCTGTTTTTAATTCGCTAATGAGTCTACTCCAACTACACTTCAGACTGAAAAATACAGAGAGGAAAATCCTTGACAAGTCTCTAGACTTTTGTGGTAGGTGAAACAAACTTGGAGAAATTTTGTTTCAGTTTCAGGGTTTTTTTCTTCTTTTTTTCTTGCTTTTTTTTCTTTCTTTCTTCTTTTTCTCTTTTTTTTTTTTTCTTTTCTTGTATGTAAGGTGCATTATTTCTTGAAACAAAGATACTTTGCCCCCTGTTCACAATAAACATGCTGCTTCTGATGGGCTCACTTCTGTCTTGCTCTATTTCGGATCTTCCATTATTTCTGAACCGCCTTGGAGCTTTCAGACCCAGTCTTATGACTGACAGCTTCTTAATATGTCTCTCAATGGTAGCTTCGTCACAGTGCTGATTGTTTGTCCCAATCCTGCAACTGCATCAGACTCATTAAAGCTAAAACTGGCTCCCTCTCCTTTCTGGTCATTGGTCTTGCTGGAGCCAGGAAGGGCAAAGGCAGGCAAAACTGTGGTGGTGTAGCTGCTCACATGCTTTCGTACATGCAGTTTTCATGCTGCTTATGTTATAGTTATATAGAGCTTCTGCCCAGCTGATAGATGTTGCACTTGTCTTGGTCATTTTTCTGGAGCACTGGGAAGGACTTCTGTGGAAGCATTCAGCTTTTTCGGGTATTATACCCTTACATATCACAGAATCACTAGGTTGGAAGAGACCTTCAAGATTATCGAGTCCAGCCCATGCCCTAACACTAGATCATAGCACCAAGTGCCACATCCAGTCTTGTTATAAACACATCCAGGAATGGTGAGTCCACCACCTCCCCAGGCAGACCATTCCAGTACTTTATCACTCCTTACGTAAAAAACTTTTTTCTACTATCCAACCGATATTTCCCTTGGTGCAGCTTAAGGCTGTCTTCTGGTAATGTTAGATTTTGCCTGGACATGCTGCAGGGGGTTATTGTGGCCAAAATGCAGGACTCAGCACTTGAACTTGTTAAACTTCATGCTATTGGACACTGTCCCATCCATTAAATCAGTCTCTCTGCAGAGCCCTCCTACATTCTGATGGATCGACACATGCTCCCAGCTTAGTGTCGTCTGCAAATTCACTAGTGGAAGACTCAATACACTCATTGATGTCATAAATAAAGATACTAAACAGAACTGGCCCCAGCACAGACCTCTGAAGGGACACCACTGATGAGCAGCCACCAGCTGGATGTAGCACCATTCACCACCACCCTCTGGGCCGGCCATCCAGCCAGTTCCTAACCCAGCACAGAGTGCTCCTGTCCAAGCCGTGGGCTGCCAGCTTTTCCAGGAGTGTGCTGTGGGAGACAGTGTCAAAGGCCTTGCTGAAATCCAAATAGACAACATCCACAGCCTTTCCCTCATCCAGCAGGCAGGTTACCTGGTCATAAAAGGAGACCAGGTTGGCCAAACATGACCTACCCCTCCTAAACCCGTGCTGGCTGGGTCTGAGAGGCCTGTAGGTTAACCTGTAGGCCTATAATTACCAGGACCCTCCTTCGTATTCTGTTTATGAATGGGTGTCACATTGGCCAGCTTCCAGTCCTCTGGAACCTCATCAGTGAGCCAGGACTTCTGGTAAATGATGGAGAGCAGCTTTGCAAGCTACCCCTGGGATGGATCCCATCCCATATACAGGACTGAGTCCTGAAATGAACATATTGCTGTGATTTCTGTCCTGCCTAGTGGGGCAATTGCATATTTCTATTGTAAAATCAGCTATGATGGGAGAGACCTAGGTTTTGGAATGCTGACTGCGACATTGCCCTTTTATCATCTCTTCTATCTGCACAATCAAGGCAACTTCTCTGATGTGAATTCCTGAAGCTTAGCTCCTGATCCTAACCTGTGAAGAACTTCATCCACTCCTCGGTCTTTACATTTCATTAACATTAATTGCTGATGCCTGATACTTGGTGGTCATTCTGCACGTCATTAACAAAATGTGATAGGATGCCATTTTGTAATATTAAAAATGGGTACAGCACTGCAATGCATGTTGCGGCCTCTTGTGGTTGTGAGCTTTATCTTTCTGTAGGCCTCTAGACCTTTTTCACTTGTCTGTCTTTTCAGTTGCAGTAAACGAAAAGCATCATCTCAGTTATCTTTCTACATAATTGCCCACATACAAACATTTACATAACTTTATGCTTTTTCTCCAAGTACAGATTCCCAGTGAAAAAGCCATTGTTAGGGTGTATGCTGATACATCTTTTGTTTCCACATCAGTGTCTCTGCCATTCAAACTACTGTCAGAATTTTTAGATTCTGCACTTGATACATTTAACAACAATAACAGCAGGTTGTAGAAGTGGAGTGATTTAATTATTTTAGGTATTTGTTATAATTAATAAGATTTTCAAGTAATGGTAGATTTTATTGGCTGCTTATTAATTTTACAGTCTAGTAATATTTCTGTAAATGGTTTTGAAATCTGGGTTTCAGTACAAGAATCTCTACAAGCAAGTATGCCATCTCTCCTTGCTTCGAAAGCACAGGAATCTGTAGGAGGCATATCACCGGCCTTTCAAAATATTTCACCTGTTAGTAGAGTACAAGGCACACCAGACACTTCTGAATTAACAAGAACTTTACCTCAGAAATACAGAAGGAAACAAATGTCAGATGAAGAGATTGAATATATTCAAGTAAGTTGTTTTTTTTTTTTTCGTTTAGCTAATTTCTACAGGTTCTGGTATGGTATTACATAGTAACTCTTTATAAAATTGTGTCCTGGCCTTTCATGATTTTCATATGCAATACTCAATTGTACCAATTCTTAATACCAAGTACCCAAATCTCACTGTATCGTAGCTCGTGGTACCACTGAGTAGAGAGATTTGGACTTAGAACAGATGTGCAGTAAGCTGGTGATAGTCACAGTCTGCATTAATTGCCACCACTACCTGTTTTATAACAGCTGTTTAATGTATAATTTGACTGTGCTGGGCAGGATCACAGAAGTCTGTTCTTAGACCAGAAAAGGCTATTAGCAGGTGATCAAAGTACAAATATTTCTCAAATTAGTTTTATAAGTTATTTATTAGTAATTTAACTCTTGTATTTCTAGTAGAGAAAACACTTTATTAAACTTGATATAAATATTTTCTGCAATACTTGAAAATATGACATTGTACATGAAAGGCAAGAAAAACCTGCTTCTCTTCTGTAACAATTCTAAGTTGTAAAAACTGATGGTTGAAAAGGGAGAATGCACAAAATGCGAGGAATTTATGAGTTTGAAATTAAAAGTTGCTTGCAGCTTTGCAGCTTTGTTAAATGGTAAGGACATATATAGCATAACTATGTTAGTAGAGGAAATCTAGAAATCTTCATATATGCAAGTAGGCTGCATCTATGTAGTAGAAATAAAATCAGTTATTTCCCATAGTAATACACCTCTTGACTTTTTGCATAAGTTTGTTTAACAGTGAGGTAAGTTATAAAAGAGTTTTGTTAGCAAAATAATGAACTAAATACCGTTCTGATTTCTCATGAAGATTGTAATGATTCTGCTTGCCTTTGTTTTTACTTTGCACTTCAGAATGTGGGCAGTGAAAGTTATTTTAAAACTTGTGTCTGTTAGCATTGTGTTTGTCGGACATTTTGAAGGTTAAGAGTCAGGTTTCTTCAGAGAAAGAGACATGGAAGCAGCTGTAACTGTAGGTAGCATGTGTTGATTTTTTTGTACTTTCCCTTGAAGAAAATGTAGCCATGACTGATGGATACTGATATTTGGCATGCTATTTGTTCTTATATAGGTAGAAAAGTCAATATTTAAATCAGAAATTAAAACTAGAACTGTGTCTCTTAGTCTATAACAGTGTAAAAGAGAATTTGATCTCAGTTTTAAGTTCTGTTCGTGGAATATATTTAACTGTATGCTTTTCTTTTACAGCGTGGAGGTCCAGAATAAATGTAGAAGATAGTTTCTTGGCCACTGTTGAAGAATGAGGTATTATATTCACAATAAAGGCGTTAAATTAAAATGCCTTAATATTAAAAATTACTGTATACTAATAGCTTTAATAAAATCTCATATGATGGGTGAAAAGATTGACACAACACACAAGATACTGATTTGTTTGTGACTGAGAAGGATTTTATGTTGATGGCTAATAGCAACTGAATATATATGATGTCTGCACTATTAAAATATTTTTCTAATTAGCCATTTGAAAAGTCAATAATCTAACCGAGTCATTTACTTTTCTACTGGTTGAGATCACAAAGTCACAGAATGGATCAGGTTGGAAGGAACCACAGTGGGTCATTTTTTGTGACCACCTTGCTCAAGCAAGGTCATCCCAGAGCACGTGGCACAGGATTGTGTCCAGATGGTGTTGAATATTTCCTGTGAGGGAGACTCCACAACCTCTCTGGGTAATCTGTTCCAATGCACGGTCATCCACACAGTAAAGAAGTTCTTCCTCATGTCCAGGCAGAACTTCCTGGGCATCAACATCTGCCCATTGCCTCTTGTTCTACTGCTTGGTGCCACTAGGAAAAGCCTGGTCCATCTTGGCAATTTCCCTTCAAGTACTGATAGACGTTGATGAGGTCTCCTCTCAGTTCTATTTCCTCGAGGCTGAACAGCCGCAGCTCTCCCTGCCTTTCCTCACAAGAGATACTCCAGACCGCTAATAAAATTTGTTGCACTTTGCTGGACCCACCCCAGCAGCTCCATGTCTGTGTTGTCCTGAGGAGCCCAGAACTGCACACAGCACTCCAGGTGAGGCCTCACCAGGGCTGAGTAGAGGGGCAGGATCACCTCCCTCCACCTCCTGGCAGTGCTCTTCCCAATGCCCCCAGGATGCCATTGGCATTCTTGGCCACCAGCACACACTGCTGGCTCATGGACAGCTTGTTGTCCACCAGGACCCCCAGGTCCTTCTCCACAGGGCTGCTCCCCAGCAGGTCAGCCCCAGGCTGGGCTGGTGCCTGGGGTTGTTCCTCCCCAGGTGCAGGACACTGCACTTGCCCTTGCTGAATTTCAGATGGTTCTTCTCTGTCCATCTCTGCAGCCTGCTGAGGTCCTTCTGAAGGGCTGCACAGCACTCCAGGGTGTCAGCCACTCTGCCCAGCTTTGTGTCCTCTGAATTTGCTGAGGAGTCATGTGGCCCTTCATCCAAGCCATGGATGAAGAAGTTAAACAGTTGAACCTAGAGGGACATCACTAGGGACAGGCGTCCAACTACACCCTGTGCCACTGATTGTAACCTTCTGGGATCTGTTGTTCAGCCAGTTCTTGATCCACCTCACTGTCCACTCATTCAGCCCACACCCCTGAGTTTGTCTATGAGAATGTTAAGAGACAGTTTGAAATCCCTACTGACATCAAGTAGACTATTTACTGCTCTCCCCTTACCCATCCAGGTAGTTGTTTCCTTGTAGAAGGCAATCAGATTGGTCAATCAAGATTTACCTTTAGTGAAGCCATGCTAGTATTCCTGATCACCTTCTTGTCACCCACACAGGTAGAGATGGCCTCCAGTATGAGGCATGCCACCACTTTTCCAGGAATTGAGGTTAAGACTGACTGACCTGGATGTGTCATTGAGAATGATTTTACAGGCAGGAAAAAGACAATGAAGTGCTCTCAGAGATGGCAACTATTCTTCATAGTTACACAGCTTTGTTGGTCTTACAGACTAATCTATTAAATAAGAGCAAAGCTTGGGCATGTAGGGAAATTAATTTTCAAGTGAGAATTTCTGCCGTATGAGAAATTTCTCTGATGGCTATTGAATGGTAGTTTTAAGTACTATATTGTAGGTAATTGTTCATAATGAAGAAACTGTAAAAGTACAATTAAGAATTTCCGGTAGAACCTAACAAAGTGCCTGAGAGCACCCTTTCTAGAGAATAATAATTTTTTTAAATTAACAAACTATCTCTCTACGCACAGAAATTACAGAAATTTCCCTGAATGTCAGACGTGAGATCCGGGTCAAAACAGAACCAGCTTCTGGGACGAGCTGCTGTCCGCTGCAACAGACAGCTGCAGCGGGAATCCCGCGATGCGCCTGAACCGGGGCCGATCCGTGAGGGAATGGCGCCTGCGCCTCGCCGGGGGCCGCTGCGCGCGCAGGGGCCGGGCCGGGGCCGGGCCGGAAGCGGCGGGGCCGCGGGGGTAAAGCGCCGAGCAGCGCCGCGGCCGCTACCGGGCATCCCCGCCGCTCCCGCCGCACATCGCTCCCGCTATGGATGCGCGGGCCCGCGCCAAGCGCTACGAGAAGCTCGACTTCCTTGGGGAGGGGCAGGTGAGCGGCGACGGCCGACGGCGGCGGGGACCGGCCGCGGCCCTGGGGCTGCGGCAGCCCAGCTGGGCCCGGCCCGTGTCGCCGCTCGCCCGCGGCGGGAGGGGGACGCGGGGGGCCCTGCTCACGGCGGTATCTCTCTCTGTCCCTAGTTCGCCACCGTTTTTAAAGCCAAGGACAAAACGAACAACCGAATCGTGGCTATTAAGAAGGTAAGTGTCAGAATGTCTTCTCAGCGTGTCACAAAGTGTCTGGTTACTCTTGACCTACCTAACGACTTTCCTTTTTTTTTTTTTTTTTTTTTTTCAATCAACTTGATGGGAAATGGCATAATATGCATTTTTATTTCTAGAGAAATTTTTTTAAATGATCTGGTTAACCTGTCCGTAATGCCCACCCACCCCAGAGGAGGGAGTGGCTTTGCTGTGCTTCTGGGTTTCTGAAGGGTTGCATGGTCTGTGACTTGAATTTCTGGTTATTTGTTAGGCTTAGTCAACAAACAAACCAATACACACACATTTCTAAACTGCAAACTTTACTGTACTTTGATAGTTGATTTTTTTTTCTTTTTTTATTAAATCGTTCCTGCTGTGGTGCCCAATTTCCTTCATTCCAGAATGTTATCCTTTATTAAGTTCCTTAAAATTTATAGAATCATAGAATATGCTAAGTTGGAAGGGACTCATCAACATCATCAAGTCCAGCTCTCATCCCTATGCAGGACAATGGAAGAATCACACCATGTGCCTGAGGCAGTTGTCCAAACACCACTTGGTGCCATGGCCACTTCCCTGGGAAGCCTGTTCCAGTGCCAGCCCCACTGGATGAGAAATCCTTTCCTAATATCCAACCTAAACGTCCCCTGAATCAGCTTTGCGCTCTTATTTCAAGTCCTGTCATTTCTAGACAAATGTTTCCTGAATAATTGAATTAGCAAAGCCTTGTTTCCTGCAGCTTTGTCCATTAAGATTGGCCATCATTTCATGTTGATTCCCATTCTAATAAAAAGTGGGAAGCAGCATCTCAGTATTTTTGCCATGTCAACTGACCCTGCTTCCATTGGGCATACACCTTCCTTCTTTACCTTATATTCAAGAGGACATCCCTGTTCAGCCAAGTTGTCCTTCTGCCTTATCTGCTTGACTTGTGACATTTGGGAATTGCCTGCTCTTGTGCCATTAGGAGGTGATGCTTAAAAAGTAGCCAGCACTGATGTGCCCTGAGCAGCCTGAAGTCTGCTCCCCTCATGTCCAGGGCTGAAGTTTTGCTGGCACTTTCCTGCTGTCAAGAGGGATTTTAAACTCAATGTCTTCATGATTGCTGGGCCAAGATGGACTCAGTTTCTGCTTCACTCATGAGAATCTCTATGTTGACAAGCAGCAGATCCAAGAAGGCATCTTTTTGAGTTGGCTCACTTAGGACCTTTTCCACAAAGTTGTCCACATTTTCAGGAATCTTCTGTCCCAGGCTGTACCTGTTGTGTGATACTTCCAGTTCTTTCTGGCAAGTTGAAGTCCTCCACAAGAACAAGGGTAGTTGATTTGGAAGGATCACTTAGTTCTTTAAAGAAGAATTCATTGGCATCATTATCCAATGGGAGGTCTGTAGCAAACTCCCACAATTGCATCCACATTATTTGTCCCTTGTTTCCTACCCAGAGGCTCTCAACTGCACCATTGCCAGCTGTAAGCTTTGTACATTCCAGCCCTTCCATTACATATGATGCCGCCCCCCTGCCTCTTTTGCCCTGTGTGCATCTCCTGAAGAGCCTGAATCTGCCCAACAGGGCACTCCAGTCTCAGGAGTGATCCCACCAGGTTTCATTTAAGTCAATGATATCAAACCTCTGGGACTGAATTGAAGCTTTGAGCTCCTCTTGTTTGTTCCTCATACTGCATGTATTGGTAGAGAAACATTTCAGGTGTTGTACTTTGTAGCCAACACCTCATGAAGCAGATCGAGGTAGCCCATTAGTGTTAATTTCCTCAAGTTTTGACACATTGTCCCACTGATTATCACTGGTGAGCCTTTTCTCCCTTCCAAGCCAATTTAAAGCTCTGTCAATGGGCTGTGCCGGCTCCTGTGCCAGATCTCTTTTTCCACTCTGAGAAAGGTGCAACCCATCAGGTGTTGGTAGAACAGGTGTTCAATCATTCCACTGTCAAAGAACACGAAGTTTTTCTTGTGACACCAACCTCAGAGCCACATGTCAGCCTGGTGGATCTGCCTGTTCATTATTTCTTGATACCAGAAGGATTGAGGAAATCACTATCTGTGCTCCATATCCTTCTATCAATTGTCCTGGGGTGCTCAAGTCTCTTTGAGTGCCCTCAGTCTTTTGTTTGTTACTGTGTTGCTGCCAGCTTGAACAAACAATAATGAATAGTAGTCAGAGGGTCTTACTAGACTTGAGAGTTTTCCAGTAACATTCCTTATCCAGTATGATCATTTTTTGATAAAATATGACAAAAGTGATCTTGGATCTCCAGCGTGCTTGTTTGCATACAAATGATGAAAATATTTACGTTGTCATAAAGTGTTTCACTTGTTACTATCTGAAGGGATTGCAGGAAGTTTTTGTATTAAAAATGATCTTCAGCTGTTCTTTGTAAGGGATGAAAAATACATGTTACAGTGGTTTTTCTGGTTGAAGACTCAACAAGTTGAATTGTGTCAATAGTAAGTCATCTTGTTTAATGCACTGATCCCTTTAGCATTTCAATAGTTGTCCTGTATGGTTGCTGGTGGTAGAGGCTGTGGTGAAAAGCATTCTTTGTTTTATCAGAATATTTTCTGAACTTTTATCATCTGGAAATATCAGTGGTAGGATTGAAATGTCAGGTCATTAGATAATTGAGACAAAAGGACCTAGAGTCTGCCCAAGTTTACAGCCTATGCTAATTTTACTAGAATCATTCTGAGATAACTGCCAATTACTTAGCTCTCATTTCCCCCTGAGGAGAGGCTCATTAGTGATGTAATAAAGCTTTGTGGCTACAAAGCAGTTTATACTGTCAGTTTGCATTATGTCTGTTTTTAGTGCCCTCATGGCTATTTTTTGTAAAAACTAATGCTGTAGAGACAGTTATTTTTTAAGGGGGAAATAAACCCCAGTTGAAACCAACCCAGCTGCTAAAGTGCTTCATTACTCTAAAACTAATTCTGTCTTAGAGGAGCAATACTAAAAAATGTATTCCCCACCATCTTAATCTTACTTAACATGAAATATTTATTTTCAGATTAAACTGGGTCATAGATCAGAAGCTAAAGATGGTGAGTTTTCAAACAAATTCATACTGTAGAAGCTGTGCTTTGTTTGCTTTATTTGTGTGAATTGATACATTAATTTCCCATACCATTGGCTGGGAAAAATTGAGCTCGGTGCCTGCTGTAAGGCTTAGTAGAGGTTTGCTTCACAAACTGCAGGGACAACCAAAAGCAGCATAGATACCTGCATGCACAGTATATGTTTAAATATGAGTATATAACTTCTTAATTTTAATGGAATTCAAACATGAATATAACTATAATATAATATAACTATAGAATAATAGTAATAATAATAACAACAGCACTGAGTTTAGAATACCATTTTGTATCAATTCATCTCTATGCCTTAAGTATTTAAGATGAGTGAGAGTATTTGTGTCTTTTCAGATGTTTCCTCTGTTCTATTTTTGTGATGTGTGCAGAGGCAAAAGTGGATAAAAACAAGATCAAAACTCTCACCTCTGTGTCCTTTTTTTTTCATGTTCAGCACTATGGAGCATGTGCTCTGACCAGCCCTGTGCCTCTAGGTGTGGATATGGCAAATTGAAACCAAGTAATCTTGGTCTTACCACCTGTGTGGTGCAGCAGAATTTTATTTGTGTGCAGGCTGCTGTCCTTCAAGACTCCTTCATCAGGTTACCAGCTTTCCAGTGAAGAGTCTTCGTTATCAACTCTCCAGTTCTTTTCTTTTAAAGAGAAACTGATCACTCATCCCAGAGCCTCACAACTGAGCCGGCTGCCTGAGAGTTGTGATCCTCTTGGCCCTCAGTGGCCTAATAACCCTTAGGGACAGTCATTACTTTTGGCCTTTGCAGTGTCTAGCTGTAGATGAAAGATGTTATTAAAAATAATGATCATATCTACTTTTCCTGTGTTATCTGACAACATGGCATGCTTTTTTTTTTAATCTAAGACTGTGCCTACCCAAAAGCAGTCGTTGTTAATTGGATTCCAAAATAGGTAATTAAAACAGGCAAAGCAGGAATGTAAAGTAATCCATGTAGCTTGGCCCAAAACTTTGCTAGTCTTAGCATTGAATCATATGCCTGATTTTAGGAGAACACTGTTTTTCAGCTCGTGTGCATCTGCAGCTTCCTGTATGATACACCATAGGAGCATTTGCTTGCTAGTTTTCATACAAGCCACACATACTAGCATTTTTGAAGGAGGAATTGGTACCCTGCAGGAACCATGGTTTGATACAGTGCCATCAGTGTGACTGCTGAAGGGGCACCATGCTCCCTGCTGGCCCCTGACTTTTCCTCTATAAAATCTGCTTATGAGAAAATTCAAGCAAGAGTAACCAGGTTTTGGTCACTTTCTCTTTTATGCCTCATATGTGCTACAGCTGGAATGTAGAAAAACATGTGCCTTGCATTATTAGATAACAGTATGTCAAAAAGAAAAGAGATTTATTAATGAGGTTTTACAGTATGCCTCCCTGTGTAAGTGAGACATGTTGAGGGACTGATTGCAAAATGAAGCTTTTCTTTAAATTTACAGCAAGCTTTCCAATACCCTGAAAAAGGTGATTTTTTTCCCTACAACTTTCCCTTTTTGCCAAAATGTAGACATGTTGCTTCATAATCTAAGCCTGATCACTATGGTTTGAAATGGACTTGCTGTGGAAGAAAGTGTATGTCCACTTATTTTGTGGCAATGTCCTCTTTATTTAGCAAATTGATGAGTGTTAAGAATGTGATTTGAAGTAGTAAATAGTCTGTGAGTAGCAGAACAATGGGTTTATTTGGAGCTTAATCCAAAGTTTTTATTTTGTTCTTTCATCTTCTTTTCTTCTTTCCATCAATGTAGGAATCAACAGGACTGCCCTCAGGGAGATAAAACTGTTACAGGAGCTAAGCCATCCAAATATTATTGGTGTAAGTAAAATAAATGCTAGTTCTAGAATCAATCTTCAAATACTTTCAGTAATTCAACAATTATTGTGGCAATGTGCCTATTTTAATAACAAAGGCAAAGGTTTTTTTTTTTTAATCCTTTTAGTTTTTTGCCTGGGCCTATATATATGCTAATGTTGGAAGAGTTGTGAAAATATAGATCACTTGATTTTGCATCTCTGATAGAATTGCTAATGAAGACAGTGCTGAATTTACCTGATTGATTGCTTCGTATGGAACTGGTGACAGTCAAAAAACAGGCTTTTTAAAGCAGTGGTAAAGGGGAAGTCATGTGGCTTATTAGTCATGTATAAAATAGCAGGCTTATTTTAGCACACAGATATGATGTTTAAAATCTCTTTTGGAAGGAGTAAGACTGGTATTTTTTTAGTTTCAGTTGGATTTTGGTAGACTTACAGATACCCAGCTGGAGCTAAAGACATTTTAAAGGTAGATCATAGTGATAATAGAAAGTGTCAATATGATTAACTACATGAAATATGAATTTTCCACATACTTTTCAAAGTGGAAATATGGTTCTCTTCTGATTGTGACCCTACTTCCAAAGCGGTTGCTTTACCTATCAAGGTTAGAGAATATGCAGGGGGTGACAACTAAAATGGCAAAGGGATGGAGCATATTCTTTATGAAAAAATGAGAAATTCGTCACTTTGGAGAGGGAAAAGCTGGTAATGGGGTGGTCTACAAAACAAAGGTGATAGGTGGTGTCTATGCAGGAATGATGTTTCCAAACACCATTGTCCTAGAAATAAGAGATATATTTAAAACCTATCGGCAGCAGGAGTGGAGACTGCACTGCTTCACTCAGTGTGTAATGAATTCATAGGATGTGTTGCCATGGGCGTGTAGAAGCAAATTGCATCAACAGTTCAAAGAAGAGTTAGACAAATTTATGATCAGGAGCTTCATAAGCAGGCTCTAAAAATAAGAGACAGTATTGTGCCCCTTTTAGTAGTCCTTACAAAACTTTTGTGGGTTTTGGGAGTTTAAGGGCCACAGTCACTGCTGTTATGAACAATGAACTAAACAAATACCTTGCAATTTGCCAATTTGTGTGGTCATTGCACTGAGACTGAGGAATGAGCAGCACCAGCTGCACACATACCATACTCATTTTGAAGGAAGAACACCAGGCTAAATGATCTCTTGCTGTAGTTCAACATCATGCTTGTGCTGTCTCAAATTAGAAATTGATTGTGTTATTACACAGCTTCATCCTCAGAAAGGGCTGTTTGGATGTCCTCAAAATAGTTTTATTTACCTTGAAAAGCTAGCTACAAAAATGAATACACATCTAAAAATGTCTGAAGCTAATAAGCCTAACACTTAAAATTTCTAAATACTGTATGCTTATAGGAAGCAGATACACAGAGCTGAATCCATGGACAAACTCAGTCTTGTCTCAATAAGGGGTGGTTAGAACAGGAAAGTTTGGAAGACAAGGCGTGCATTACATTATGTGTTGTAGTTAACGAGATAAAGTTAATTCTTGCTCTTTTTTCCTGTCTCCAGGAAGAAAGGGCAATCATGTGAAATGTTATTTCCATATTTAATGGATTTTTTTTCTGGTTTGGAAACTTGAGTTAAGAAGCTAAACTGAGTAAGAATTTTTGTGTTACAAGTCAAAAAACTTAAATGAATTCTCAATAAGCTGAAAATCCATGTGCAGACTACAGTGGTGGTGAATTTCAGAAAACTGGAAGAATCAGAGCATGCTTAATCATAATGTATTTTGTTTTGCAGCTTATTGATGCATTTGGACACAAGTCTAATATTAGTTTGGTGTTTGATTTTATGGAAACAGATTTAGAGGTAAGATTTTTAAAGACTGTTTTTATCTCAGTATCTTAAGATGGTTTATGAAAGTGCTGCTTTAACAGACTTATATTTGCCCATATTAGAAAGGGGACTGTTATGATGTCAGTTGATGAAAATCATGTCTTAAAAGTAGCTTGAGTGATTTCAGTTTTTATGAATACTCATTTGATTAATTCATTTACTTCTAAATACCTGTCAGCATGATTGTGTTTACTATGTTAGTTTTCAGACTCCAGTCAGAGTGTAGAACCTCTGGCATAGATCATTGCTTCTGGAGTGTAATTGATAAGCATAATACCAAACATGTTCACTAAGTGTGACACTAAAATATAGTAAGAGACAAGGTGGTAGTAAAATCACATGAATTTTAAACATGTTTTCAAATATAGCAATGCTAGGTAATTGCAAATTAGTACGTTCCAGAGACCGGCTTGCTGAAATTTATGTGAATGCAAGACTTAAAAAGGTTAGATCAGATTTTTGCTAATAGAGGTTAGTAATCAAGTAGACTTTTAGAGGATTCATTGTATTTACATAGTAGTTACTCAAAGTTTAGTGATTAGGAAGATTGGTGTACAAGGAATTAAATATTCTTGAACTGTGTGATGCTGTGGTGTGCAGTCTTTAAATTGTATTGTGGTATCACTCAGGCTGCCGCTGAGACTGCTGCCTGTTGTGATTAAGCAGATGCTGCATACATGAAATTTGTGCAGTCTTAACTCCTCTGTAACTCAGCTTATGGAAGGCTATTACTGAGCAGGACAGTAGTATTAACAAACAAGCTTTGGGGTCTTTGCATAGAATTTTAATTTAAAAATCAAGGAATGTAGAAAACTGAAGTAGATTTCATAAAATACAGTCAAGTGGCATAACCTCTGGTCTTTTTGGAAATAGAAGAGGAAACCATTGTATTTACAAAGATTAGTTACTTAGGTTGCAATGAGAAAGAAGGAACAAGTGGAAACATAATTTCTAGTTTACTTTCCCATTTATCATTTGTATGTGTACATTTTGTCCTGGAAGTTTGGGTGTCAACATGGAACTGAGATTAAATGCTAAACTTTTGTTTTCCACACATTTTTTCCATTTTTTTAATTGTTGGGTTATGCAAAGTTCACATAAGCTATCATTTCATTTCTGATCTCCAGAATTGGCCCATTTTTCTGGGAAAAGGGTAAAATGGTAGAGAATATGTGACTGCCAATCTGAAGCCTGTCTCAAAGGCAGAAATAACTTTTGAGCTGAAAGAATGGAGATAAGGTTGTCTTGTGTGCTGAGCTTTACCTTGACTTCAACGCTTTGCAGGTTATTATAAAGGATACAAGTATTGTGCTGACACAGTCTCACATCAAGGCATATATGCTGATGACACTTCAAGGATTAGAATATTTACATCAGCATTGGATTCTACACAGGGTAAGCATGTGCTAAATTTACAGCCTTCATCCTACAACAAAAATCACATTGGGTGGATTTAGAGTCTAAAGCCTAATGAGGGTAGTTGTGGAATCAGACAGTCTCATTCCATAAGCATTCATATTTGCTGTTTTGGAGAGATAATAGCAGTACCACAAATGTTAAGATTTACTGATGTGGTTATGACTTTGATTCTTATATAAAAGGTTCTCCACTTAGATGTGACTTCAGTTATCACTGTGAACTCGTTCTGCCTGGGATTTTTTTCACAGCACTTGAACTCTTGAAGCTTTCCCCTTTCTATCAGGCAGTGTCAAGGCTTTCTCTGTTTCTCACTCTGCCTTTGCCCTGATAAGTAGGCTTGGGGTAAGAAGTAAGGAGGAGAGACAGCTGGGGCAGCTGACCCAAGTTGTCCATAGGGATACTGCATGGCATGTCAGTGGTAAAAACTGGGGTAGAGGAAAAAGGGGGAATTTTGGTTTCCAAGCTCACTGTTGTTTGGAGACTGTGTATCACTCTCGTTTTGGGGGGTGATGAAGGATTTCCATGGCCTTGCTTGTTTGCTTTGATATTTAGTTCTTGCCTGTTAAACAGCCTTTATACTGCTCCTAGAGTTTTCCTGCTTTTGATCTTCTCTCCCCTATGCTGCTGAAGGTGGTGGGTAGGATGAGAATAGAAAGAGCAAATGGCTGTGTGGATACTTTTGGGTTGGTTACTGTTGGGTACTTGTGGGTTGACCTCTGTTGGCCTGAGGTCAACCCAAATATACTGCCACTGTACTGAATTGTGTGACTTCTGTGATTTCTGCTGTTATTGGAAGCACTGGCCAGGTCTTTTTATTATTCACTTGGCAGCTATGCAGATAACATAACTGCTGTATCTGCAGAAAATGTAAAATTTACCAAGAGGCTTCTTTAAACTCTGCAAGTTAAATGTGTTAATATTCAAATGGATCTGTCACACTATGGTTTTCATATGTGATGAGATACTTATTTCCTGGGGAGTTTAAATTTTTTCACTCATAATATAGGTTTTAGGATAGAATCAAATCTTTCATTTTACAACACTGTTATTGACATATCTGCCAGGAGATTCATTATATGTCTGTTTTTATCAATACTGGCAAATCTTATTATCTGTTTTCTATACTGACAGGATCTTAAACCAAATAACTTGTTGCTAGATGAAAATGGAGTTCTAAAATTGGCTGACTTTGGCTTGGCAAAATCTTTTGGAAGCCCAAACAGAGTTTATACACACCAGGTAGTAACAAGGTAAGATGCTGTATATTGTTTCTTACACATAGATTGTTTAGTTGCTTTATAGATATTTCTTGGAATGTGTCACGTCAAATCAACATATTCAGAGTGGCATCTGCTCATGTGATGTGACAAGAGCTGCCTAAAAAACCACAAGGAAGCATTGTTTAACGAAGTCTCCATAAGAACTGCTTGAGTATGCATCTGTGGGCGTGGTTCTCATATTTGTCAAAATTATACTCTTTTGAAATGTCTGGAAATAGTACGTATCTGCTTAGAAGCCTGGATTTTGGAGCAAGACAGCTGCTACTTTCTGCTAATCACAAGAACCTAGAACCATTTTTGGAGCTATTTGCATTACCTATTTTGAGACAAACACTTGAATCAATTTAAATATTTACTAATGGTTTTTATGGCATGCTTATTTAAGGTATGCTATAAAAAGCGGGGCTGCAAAATATATGAAGTTTTGCTTTCTGACTGCTGGGATGCTAAAACTATTCAGGCAAAGCTGGTTTAATACCTTTATTCAAAAGACAGAAATTCTGCAGTGTCAAATGCAGTGTCATTTCATTAACTTGATTGTTCTTAGGCAGTGTGAGTAGTTTTTTCAAAACAACAAGGCTCATTTTACATAAAAGTAGTCTCTATACTTAGGTCTGTTGATATGGAAATTCTTGGGAGATGGGAGGAATTCTGTCTTGCTGTGATTCATTCAACATAAAATTTTAAGAAAATTTCAATTTACCTGCATCTTAAGAGCTTACTTCCTTGCATGTATACCATTCAATACTTGTAATCGGGTCAGTTGACTGCAGTTAATCTTTGGTTGTACATGACCCTATGGTGAGCCGTGCACAAATTTGTTCATTTTTTCTTAAACAAAACACTTTGCAGAATACAGCTCTTCAGTGTCTGAAAAGTATATTAGAAGTATACTGGTAGAAATAATATCCTTTTAGGTTTTGCATTGCTACAGTATGTAGCACTTGACATGAGCAAAGCCAGGTTGTTCTTCCTAAATGTGTTTTCTTTTCAGGTGGTACCGAGCTCCGGAACTATTGTTTGGGGCTAGAATGTATGGTGTTGGTGTTGATATGTGGGCTGTTGGTTGTATTTTAGCCGAATTGCTCCTCAGAGTAAGTATTCAAATGTAAGCATTTTGTATTTACCCTTCTGTTCACTACAGCTTTTTGTGGGTTTTTCTTTTCCTGCTAAAAGCAGGTGAACACAGGCCTGAAGAAACTATAGAAAATCTTGTTAACTGTAATGAAAGTGTTTTTTTGGAATAGACTGAGGCTTCATAAACATCAAAAGCACCGGAAGTCTTTAAACATCTGGGTTAAAATGTTGCAATAAACTGTCACAGTCTTGCCTTGGGAGAGGTCAAGTAGGTAACTCTTGCAGTCCTCAGACACCTATTTTGGTTCACTACTGTTCTAGAAATGTAACATCACATATAGGTGCATGGGCTGTCCCTTTTAGGCTGTTTCTCAGTTATAATCACCAGTACCTTAACTGTGGTTTTATTGAAAATGAATGGAAGACTAATGTTTTTCTAAACTGTGGTTAGTTGACAATACTGGAATGAAGCTGAAGGTTAACATCAGGATAATCCTATGGCATTCCTCAGTATGGTACACAAATGTAATGGTCCTTGAGTATTTTTCACTGAAGTGGAATGTTTATTATACAGCTCTTTGGAGAAGACATTAAAGTGTGAGGGGAGCAGTGGAGGGCTGGGGTACAAACACTGCTGAATACATGAAGTAGCCTGCAGTAGTACAATTTATCTTCCATGACTAAGTGGCTTCTGCTTGGTTTCAAAAGCATTCTTTGAATGCTTTTGTGGCCATATCATAACCAGACTTCTGTGTGAAAACACTTTGAAAGAAACCTTTTGCTTTGATTGGTCACACCAAATAGGTGTGCTGATTCAATTTGATTGGCAGGTCAGATATGTAAATGTACAGTGGCTCTTTAAGCAGCACTGGTGATGGATACATAAATATGCATGAGACCTGCTAAAGCTGAATACATTTAAGCAAAGTTAGTAAGCCACTAATTCTTGAATTCAGTTGATTCTTTGGTTTGTCACAAAATAAAAAGTGTGTTATGGATCAGTTTTTATCACTGATATTTTGAAATGTATGTCTCACTTTTCAGGACAATGCAACTTCTGGGAGCTTTTTATGAAAGCAGTTTATATTCGAGGGGCTTTCATCATGCCACAGTTTGATATGCTGTCTGCTAGGGATATCCATTATGGTTTTTCTGTCCTGATTAAATAAACACTGCCTCTAATTCTTCATAGATTTGCTTTGGTCACCAACTTTCTTTTTCCTTACATTGTGTGCTTGATATGTGAGCTAGAAGTTGGACTGGGCAGATATCCCCTTTTCAGGCTTTTGCTTTATTTAAATGACATGTGACACTGATCAGACAGTTTTCTATCCCAGTGGGCCTCTACTCTCCCTCATGTTTTCATTTAGTTTCATAAGGCTAACTCGTGTAATCCAGTTATGATTCACTTTAAATATCTAGAAAAGCTACCTCCAGAGAACCGGTGGTGAAAAGATCACCACAACCAACTGACTTTAGGCTGACAACTGAGATATAAAATCTTTTCTGTGTTTAGTACATTTTACATTAATGTGGTTGTGATTAAACATAATCTTATGTTTAACCTCTCTGCTGTCAAGTCAATGATACCACGCCTGGGTTTAGGAAACATTCAGAATCTATTTGAGCATAAATAGAATGCCTCAAATATCCAGTGTACCTCTTTGTGGGGATGTGGTATACAGAGGGCTTTTGCCTTGCACTTACGCAGTATCACTCAAAGTTTTTTTTCTAAAATTGAAGTTCAGAAGTTAGTTCAATCAAATGCCATGTCCTTCTTCCAGGTTCCTTTTTTGCCTGGAGACTCTGATCTTGACCAGCTGACAAGGATATTTGAAACACTGGGCACTCCAACAGAAGAACAGTGGCCTGTGAGTAATTTTGTTTAACAAACTGATACTGGTTTTACTTGATACTGTCTATTTTAGCTCTTGAAATTAAATGATTATTCCAGAATACTTGAGTAGATTTTTCAGAAGACAAATTGCTTCATCTCATGAAGCAGCTGAGATTTGTTGTTTCTCCTGGCAAACCTCTGGTCAACAGTAACAGTATCAACACTTCTTGATTTCCTTTCTGTGTGCACAGTTTCACATGGCTACTGGTGTGAGATTCTTGCTGCTGCTTAATGTTTTTGAGGTACTTATTTAATTAGCATGCTTTAACCTGGAATGCTTTAATCACTTTCAGAAGTAGGAACCATTTGTAGGGGCCTAAGTTGGCCCTGGTAAATTATAGTTTGATGATAGTAAAAAACACAGACCAACAACACAGACTTTAAGGATAAACAATTTGCCTCAACAATGACCCCAAAACAAATAAAATTAGTAGTACAATTTTCTCTGAGATGACAGCAAATTAAGTAACACCAGGCCAAACTTACTGTTAGGTCACACAATGACCTACCTAACCATGGTTATTAAACAGAGTGAGAGGAAGTGGGATATAATGTCTGATGAGCTGTTTGTGCCAGCTACCATGCACAGGGAGTCCAGAATTCCCTGATCAGGATTTTGTCGTTGCGTTGTGGAAGCACTCACTGGACTTGTTCACCTCTGCTCACTCTCCATGCAGCTTTTCCTTACTGTAAATGGTGCTGGAATGCTATGGTATGTGATCATGAAATGGAGCTGTAGCCAAATGGAGAACTGCTGTGTGAGGCCCTGCTAGGCCTCCACAATTCTGATATTTCTTGAGTGTTCTGAATGGAATGCATGAAGGTTTTTGCAATGACATTTCTGCTTCCTTTGGAGAGGAAAATTTAAGATAAAGTTGGGAAAAGAGAGAATAAGAGATTAGTTAACACAACAAAGATGACACATCCCCAAGTTCATGTCCAAACATGTACATTTTAATAATTGCAACCTTTACAATCAAGATCATAACTGATTGAACACTTTTTTGACTTTGTCCAAGTAAAATATTAATACAAACTTGAAGTGTGACAACTAAGGCTTTAAATACTTAAAACACTACAAAATCATTATGTTTGTGTAATTGTCTGTGTAATTTTTGTACTGGAATGTGAACACAATGGGGTTGATTTCATACCTAGAGGACAAAAAAGTATGCAGCTAATTTTTTGTTTAACTGCTTGGTGCATATTTTCATTCCCTCCTCCTGTTGCCTATATAAAGTTGCAGTTGTGCATTTAAAATCAAAATTCACATGGTTCAGATAACATCTATTAATATAAAGTGAAGACTGACTCTTTTGAAAATACTTTCCCTCTTGCCATGTCAGCTCATTAAAGGAGGTTTTATTTCATTTTCCTGACCCAATCTAAAATTCTTTCATGCTTCCTTTAGCAGTTTTTCCTTTTGGACTGGTCACAACTAAAGCAAGGGAAGGACAGATCATTTGGAAAGTTGTTTCACACTGTAACAGTTATTTAAAAAAAAGCTTTTATGACCTTCTATTCCTATAGTTATTTAATTTCAGTGACCAAGTAGTAGCAACATGTTTTGAAAGATGAGATGCTTCTGGTGAAAGAACCATATTCAGTTCACTTTCTGTGAAAAGCTGAACTCTTTCTAGGGGAAAAACATATATTCCATTTTTGGTCTTTGTAGGGGATGACAAGTCTTCCAGATTATGTCACATTTAAGCCATTCCCTGGAATGCCACTTCAGCATATCTTCAGTGCAGCTGGTGATGATCTGCTCAGTCTTCTTCAAGGCTTATTCACGTTTAATCCTTCTACTAGAGTAACAGCTACTCAGGTATAGTACACTTGGGTTATCTCCTAATGTTCATTAAACCACTGTTAATATCAGATAAATGTGTTTTGAAGCCAGTTAGCCATGTTTGAAATGAAACATCACATGAATTACTAGAAACATAATCCCAGTGTTTTATAGAGAGAACGGTGAAAGGCATGGATAGTACTAAGTGATCATCTCCATTCCCAGTGTACAGTCAAGGTAGAAAGCTAAAATGTGTATGAGCCATGACCTTCTGACAGTCATATTTGACATGGTGAATTCAGTCACCTAAAACTTAAAGGTCAAGTCTTAACATAGCTTTTCTTATTCCCTGGGTTTGGAAGGTTTTTCTCCTTGCTTCATCCTGTCTGTTCTTCAATGTCTTTTAAACTTTTATGGTACTTCTTAAACATAAAGTTCCATGGTGATTAAACAGTCATTCTTACCTAATTCTCCTTTTCCATGATACTTTCAATTTCCATGATGGGTGGAAATGGAGGACTTGCAAGAAAAATCTCGCAGAATATTCTAGTTTGCAATTCTGATTTCTGTGATGAGGAGGATACACCAGTTGGCAGTTAAAAGTGTATTTCTGTCACTTTACACTGATAGGGAACATGCAAGAAACCTCTGACCCCTTTGGGCCAGGACTCCCTCATTGCTGGTTACATTTGAATTCAGGAGATAGTTCATGTGTTATGTATCTTTTTACTAGAAGACTTTTCAGAGCACATTCAGGCTGTTTTGGCCACCATCTTTAAGAACATTCACTGTAAATTTCCAGATAATTAGTTCTGCTATGCTTGAGACATCTCTATGGTAGTTGATACGTATGAAGTAATTTTTCAGGTCATATTATAGGATAGTGACTTGAATATATATTACTTTTCTAGTCTAAACCTTTTATTGACAATGCCACAGTTTAAGACAGAAAACAACTTGACAACTTGTGCTTACTGTATTGGTTTGATTTATAGCTGACATTGAGTACCATGTAACTGGCACAAGAAATTATTAGCTAAGAGACAGTCACTTTTTGTTAACCACGCTTCATGGTTCCAAAAATTTAAAGTAAGGTATATAAATTCCACCACATGAAACCAATCTTGCTGACTAATGTTTGTCTTCTGCTGTAATATGAGTGATGTCTTTCTCACAGTTTACAGGGTAGAAAGAGGACAGTTAAAGAAATATGGGGGAAAGACCCATCTTAAAAACTAACAAAACAGCTGGTGTCTAGATCATGAATCTGATCAAGACTTCAGAAATATTCTGTTAATTTTTCTTTATTCCTACTTTCTTTTTTATCCTCATCTTATCTGATCTGTCTATTCAGAATGTAAGCTCTTCAGAGTTAGAAGCCGTTTATACAAGACTTCTTACAAAATAATCTAGTTTTGTCAGGATATCTGAGCACTGGTTAAAAATAGGAGTATATAATTATCCCTTGCTTTACAGATCCATGTAGGGTGGATAGTAATTTTGAACACAATATTTATTTGCCCCGAGGCCGCTCTGTAGTTAAAAAGGTGTTAAAGTAGTTTTTAAGTCCCAGGTAAAAGTGCTTGGTTTCACTATAACTTCTTTATAAATTACACTTCATACTAATTACTTGTTTCTTTTTCTTTGATTATCATTTAGGCATTGAAACAGAAGTATTTCAGTAACCGACCAGGACCCACTCCAGGAAATCAGCTGCCAAGACCCAACTGTCCTGCCGAAGCTGCAAAGGAGCAACAAAATGCACTTTTAAATTTAAAAAGGAAAAGAACAGAAGGAATAGATCAAGGTAACTTTGTGTTATGTCACCACTTTTAAATAGGAGTTATGTGCTCAGGGAGAATGGGATGCTTCCAGTGTTTTAGAAGAAAAACTCTCAAAATGAACTAATTCCCTGAGCACTGGCTGACGCCCTTTAATGATATATGGTTTGGAGTCAGAATTACTTATACCTATGTTCTAACAGAATTAGCACAGAAAAGACTCTTCAATGATGCTTAAGAGTCTATTAGAAGAAATAACCGTATTCCATTAATTCTGTAATGGAGAGTGGTACTCTCCAGTAAATTATAGGCTATTATTGTAGCTCTCGCACGCTGCGGTCACTTGGGGCGAAGGGACGCCGGCCAGCTGCTCCCTGTGTGGCCGCAGAGGGGCGCTACAAGACTGGCCACTCCCGGGCTCTCACTGAGACTGCCCAGGTAGTGGTGACAGCTGCGGCGTGGGTGTCGCAGGCTGGTGTGAGGTACGAGGTCCCGAGATAAAGGAAAGAAAGAAGGAACACTTGCGTAGGTTCCAAGGAAACTTTATTCCAAGGAGGGTCCAGGGACAAGTGTCAGGGGAGAAGGGTCTGGCTAACTCTTATAAAGAGAGTGGGCGTGGGGGGAGGAGACATGAGGGAACCAATAGGTGAAGGCAAAGGAAGGCTTATGTAACACAAAAGGCCCAATGAGAAACACATGGGGGAGGGAGGAAGCCTTGAGGACAAATCAGGAGCTGTACTGGGCATGAGTGACATGGAAGTCTCTTGAAAAAAGGAGGGGGGGTCACAATGACAGACAGGGGGTAGGAGGCAGCACCATGGGGATTGACACAACCGCATAAGGGCATGAAGGGAGGAACAAGGGACCACTCACTTTGATGAGCAGGCCAGTGGCGGGAAAAACAGGGGAAAAACAACTTTGGAACAAACCATCATGAGGGGTTTACACAGGGGGGAAAAGGAACAAACCATTTCTTTAATAAAGAATAATTAATTTTCATAACAACTTCAACTTAAAACACGCAACGCCACATATTATGATGAACCTTTTTTTTTGTTCTGAGACATCTTAGGTGGAAGTAATTTAACTTCACACCACTTAAGAAAAGGGAGAGAGGGAGTCTGAATCGTAACATGATATTCTGTGAAATGACAGGCTGGAGAGGATAGATCAGATTCAGAGGAGAGGTTTTTGCTTACTCTGTCTTAAGGTATGGAAGTTAACTTTTAAGACCACTCTGGGTCAAGAACATTAAGCACAATTCTGTGACCCACCTCCAGTCTTCTCCAGACAGCAGGTATTTCATACCTTTGTGGCAACACAAGTGCTTAGTACTCAAGAACTGTATCTGACACTAAATTACTAAATTACTCAGGCCTTCTATTAGGGAGGCAAATACTATTTCTAAACTTGGAGTTGGTCATCTTAACATCTGGAATATGCTAGATGGCATCTGTCAGGTTAGCATCAGCTCTTTGTTATTGCCAGTATGAGACTCAGTTTTAATATGACTGATATTTTTTTGAATGGAGCTACTTCGATAAAAGTATTTTCTCTTGAGTTCAGAGAGAAATCTCCCCAAGGTTCACCTTGCTTTTTAGGCATTTTGAATTGTTGTTTCTAAGTCTTCATCAAATTGGAAGTAAAATACATTTGGTTCACTACTGTAAGTTTTCAGTCTCAAAAAAAAGAGTGATCAGTTGCACACTTGTTTCCTGACCCCAGTACCATGGGTCTCCTGGCTTGTGGGAACTTGTCAAGTTACAATAGCATAGACAATTAATTTAAGCATTTTAGCTCCTCTTCCAAAGATCACGTGGGGGTTTGTGATAAGTGTTTGGGGGTATACGCCCTAAAATACACCTGTTAACTAAAGGATGGGAAAAAGAGAGAAATGCCTTCTTGAGTTCTGTGACTTAATGATTTGAATTTGTGCATTTGACAAAGAGCAGAGTTTCCAGAGTTGTATCAAGTTAGAACAATAGTTGCTTTGACATCTTTCCATGCTTCTGTGTAAATGCTTGGAGTTTTGAGATTGGCTAGAAATGAGGCAGTAAGGAAGTCAGCATTACTTTTTGGGACCTTTGAGTATTGGTATAAAAAGCAATATAATTTCTACCAGCTGGAAATGGAGATATGATGTATTTTCTAATGTGGATTTTCCATAAGGTTCTGTTACTGCCTTAGCTGCGCTGACAGATCTAGAAGGCTTCTATCCAAAGGTAATTCCTCTAGTGCCAGCAAATGTTAAAGGAGAGAGCAAATGATAGAGCTAGCAAATCTGCTGTCCTGGATTTCATTTGCGCTTCTTACATGGCATTACCATCTAAATTCAAAATCTGAATAGTGATTTGGAAGAATAATCCTCTAGTATTGGTTTAAATAAAAACTTGAAGGACAACATTGCTGTAGGGGGTGGGAATGTGTGAGTGTAATTTCCAAGAAAATTACAATTCTTTTCCACAAGAACAAACCCCTGAAGCCTGTGAGGTGTGTTCACCAAATCTAAGTAATTCTCAGAAAACAGCCTCTATTCTCAGGGGAAGACTACCACTAGATGGATGACTGCCTGTAATAAGTATGAAACATACATGCTTTGTATCTACTGCTACCACTTACTTCTGATCAGTAAGGTTTTGGAGACACTGATTCTATGATGACATAACTGCCCATCTTCTCTGTCACTTAACCAAAAGCAGCACTGCTTCCCCAGAATGCCTATTTCTGTCCTATTAATATGCATTCCATTGTGTAGCTGTAGCTACACAAAACAGGGACTATAAAGAATGGTGCACTAAAGTTTTTCCTATGTTAATTAAGCATAAGGATTCTGATATCAAAACTATTGATTTGGAAAAAAACCAAAAACATTCTAATCATATTTAAGTTTAAGAATTTGTCCTAGACTTGACAGCACAAAAGAAAAATCCTTTAGAGTGTGTGTGTCTGGTGGGACAGGTTTAAGCCTTAGAACAGCTGGCTTTTCTTGGGTTTCAAAGTAGAATTAATTTATTAGCTTTTCATATCAACAGTTAGGTTTTTGTATGAACAAAGAGAAATATTTACATGTATCCTAAATGCAATTAAAACTTAATTACAGAATTTATGACTTTTGGAATATACATACTGATTCAGGTGACCTTTGATTCTAGCACTCTCTCATAGATTTGTTAGAAAATGTCATCATGTACTGCCACTGTCATAAACAGCATTCTGCAATTAAGAGTAGGAGGGGGCCTTGAGGAGGGGGCTAGACCTCTATACTTTGCTAACAATGTGATTTACATTTTTTCAGGATTACCAAAAAAACTGATTTTTTGATTGCTGTGGATGATGAGTGAAAATGCCTTGAGTTCCAGGCATTGATAAAACACTGTAATCGTCGCTGGATGTTTTTTTCATATTTTCATATGTAAAATATGAATTTTATTATTTCCTTATGGACAGAGAAGTTTTATTAATCCTTCTTTTTACAATAAAATCATTACTGAGAAAAAAGATTATCTGGTTTGCTGTCTTGTCCTTTGAGTCATGCTCTGAGACAATAACTGTCAAAACTGCTTGCAGGCTACAAGTGTACACAGACTAATTTTGCAGAACCTCTGTGCTGAATCACATGCTATTCTGTTCAGATATATATCCTAAGGGGGAAATGTTACTAGAAGTAACATATTTGTCTCACATGCAGCTTAGATAAACATATGACTGTCTTCTAGACCTATAATAAAAATGTAAGGAAAGGGTAGGATATGTTTTTGTTCCAGTTAGTAGGATCAAGTATTAACAAACAAGTTTGAATATGTTCTCTCAGCAGTCATGTATTAAGACTTCTGCAAAGACACATCCACTGCCTTGAAAACAATGTGAAGTGCAGATTTAATGTGAAATGTTTGGAGGGTTTTTTTTTTTTTCCTATTCCCATCTTGCAGGAGAAGTTACCTGAGAAAATACAAATACTGTTTCCTGCAAAGCCTTGAAGATTGCAGTGAGAGACAGAGGAGGAAGATCCAGCTGGGGAAACTACACTACACTAGTCATCCTGTCAGCCTGTATCTGTAGAACAGCTCATAGTGCAGACACTGGACTCAGCTTTGCCTGAATTCCAGCATGGAGAGGTAGCAGAGTTTCTGCTGGGTAACTGAACTTCTGCAATGGAGAGAACCAAACTTGCACATGCTGTTGCTGCATCTTAACTGTGTGCCTGCCCGCTGTTGTACAGTGTATCTCAGGGATATCTGCTGAGCCATTGTCATCATTCGGCCTTTGAACCACATTCAGCATTCTCTTTTCTAATTTTGTGACAAGTATAGTAGTGCAAGACTTTGAGGCTTGTAGAGGAACAGCAGTCATCATCTTGCTCGTGTGTTCCTTCCTTTTGCTGCTACTTGAGCTAATGTAAAGCATCCTTGTACGGGAGAAGAGTTGGTATTTTCCCAGTACTGTGTTCTCTATTGGTTGTTTGCAGTTGAAAAGTAAACAGATTTCCTAGGATCTAATTGAGAGTGTAGAAAAAAGTTTATCCATTAACATTAGTCGTGTAAGTTTTTATTGTCTGTTTAATCAAACATCATCCTTTCATTTCAGGCTAGAGGATTAAGATAACTATAGTCCTACTTCTCACTGGCACAGGTTCAGAAATATGTTTATCAGAATAGGGAAGAGGGATTTAGGAGTACTGTAGACTTCTTTCCATTTACTTATCTAGTGTCTCTTTCTAACTGGTCCTAAAAGCCTGGAAACCTTCAACCCCTAAAACAGTCACTGAAAAATGCAGTGACAGTGCATGACAGTGACAATCTTATTTCTGACAATATTCTGTCAGTTCGGCTTTGGGAAAGAAACACCGTTTCCTGCTTGTAAAAAAGCTGTATCTGCCTAGACAATACCCTTCCCTGAAGGAAACCTTTTCCACTAGAACAAGTAGCAAGCTTCTAAGATCCTACTGGCAAAAGTTGTAGAGTAGGTACCGAATTAGATAGGTAGTCGGTATATTACTGTACACAGCGTGGTTACTATACTCTGTAAGAGCAGGCTGGAAGCGTGAGGTGCTAAGGCCTGAGCAGCAGCCTCAGCCAGAGCTGACTTATGAGATGAATCCTGGGCATTATGTGACTAACAGTGTTGTTTAGCTAAAAACAAATTACTGAGATGCTTATGCTAGCTGTTTGTCGCCAAACGGGCTGCTTAAGAAACTTTCACATCTTGTGCAACTGTCTGCAAGAAATGTATCATTTTAGGGAACTTTCCCACCAGGCATTAATAGAGGCTTGTTTGCAGGGTGTTTTAGGGAAAACCCTCCCAGCCAAGACCTGGCCTCAGGCCATGCCCTGCCTCCAGCTGGGAGGGAAGTATGCCATCAGATGCAGGTGCTTCTGTACTAAAAATATAATCAAGCCACTTTGACTTGCTGATCTGGGCCTATAAAAGCTGGATCCCCTTTCAGGGTGCATTTGGAGACCTCATCTACAAGAGGATACACCAAGTAGGATTCTGCCAGTTGCCAGGAAGGGTTCTCCAGGTCGTCACTGCAAAATGGGGCTCCCCAGCAATTTCTTATTCTGGATGATGGTAAAGTATTTAGGCAATTGGTGATATATCATTCTAAATCCTTTCTCTTGTGTAGTAATGATGAGGTGTATTACCTTGCTTATTTTTGCATGTTGCTTAAGCTGAGCACGTAGTTGCTTTATTTAATATATCATTTTACTGTTGTGTTGCCTTAGTACTCGTAGTAAAATAAGATCATTCTTTCCATTGGTGTCTGTGTCCTTTAAATTGCCCCCATCAACTGGCAAAACAAAGTGAGAGGGTATTTTGTGACTAAGACTTGTATGCATGTATGCCACAGCAGATGCCCACAAAATGCTATTTTTATATAATACAAGTTCAGGAGCTGTTTCTCTCCAGATCCCATGCAGCAGTTTGGACTGTGCTCTGTATGTACAGTTGGGCCCTGTTCTATACCATGGGTGTGTGCAGTAAGTCGTGTTTTCAGTTGAATCAGCTGAATTGTTTCAGTTGAATGGAGCTGAGTGAAGCTACCTGTGTCAGGAACTAAAACTGCCTTGCTCTTAGTGACGGTGTGCACAGATAAAATGTATGTGCATCACAGAGTAAGATAAGATTAGAGAAAGGATCAGCACAACATTTTTTTCCTTCATCTCAGGCTTTTGGATGGTTTGATTTAACTTTTGTAACAGGTCAGAACTCTGGAAGAAATATTTGGGATTTGTGGTGAATATAATATGCAGTCACACAATTAGTCATCTAAATACTGTTTAATTTGTGACTTGATTAGTTTGTAAGCTTTATATCATGTTAATCATGCTTCAGTATTGACAATCTGTCTCTAATCACACCATCTTACTGAATATGCAGCTGCTGCAATCTATTTAGCTTCTGTTCAGAACCATAACAATCAACCACAGTTTGTCTGGAACACACAGTGTGCACGCTTATGCAAAACTCTCAGTTGTACACCTGAGCAAACAGGAACATAATGTAAATGCCTTGCGACCTTTCTTCTGCTTTTACCATCTTTTTATCATGAGTTACTGCTGTTTCTTCCTGAAAGGTTAAATCTCCTCTTTGCAAACGTGATGGCTTTTATCTAGAGACTTGATGGAATTTGAGTGACTTTTATGCATTGTACTGCTATTGTTTGTAATTGAACAAGAATGTTGTAACTATAATTGAACTAGAATGTTGTTTTCTTCTTCCACTTTGTTGCTACAATAAATGTAGCAAAATGCATTGTATGAGCACACCATGAGCACACAGAAAGGTGCTCTCTGTTTTAAACAAAACTGATTTCCTTTTCTTGTAGATGCCAGGATTTCTTGTGGTGGCATGGAGAACAAGGACTGCTAGCTGTCTCATCCTCCTCTGTCTCCCTGGTTCTTGATAAATGACAATGCTGATCCCAGAAGCCTTTTTTTTTCAGCAAAGAAGGTTCAGAGTTGAGTTGTTACATACAGTTACTCTTTTGCATTTTTGGTATTTTTCTGTACATGGTGTGGCCTTGATGTGCTCCAGGCTGCACTGCCAATTCTTTGTTTTTACCAGTCATTCTTGGCTTTTGTTACTGTTCTTGTTCTCTTGAATTACTGCATGTGCACTGCTCACTTAGCCATTTCTTCTGCTGCACAAATGTTTATGCTCCATGTGCTCCAGTGTAATGATTCTTTTACGGAAAAGGTTTCACCTGTGGCCTTTTAATACCGCAAGAGAAGGAAGGGGTCGTTACAAAAGAGGCTATCATTGCATCTGTTTTTCTTTTAATCTCTCTCCTCCCCCTTGCATTTTATACTCAGAAATGTCAGCTTTGTCTCTGAGTTAAGCTATTCTCTCCACAAGCCTGTAATAAAATTACAGGATAAACCACAGATAGGTCTCCATATGGTTTATCAAGTTGAGACAGAAAAACTTCTCAGAAAACTAATCTGAGTGCTTTGAACACTTTTGGCAGGCTATATTTTGACGTACACCTTGCTGGTATCCTGTAGTGTGAGTGGTTCTGCAAAAGACATGCACAGCTGCAGTCTCTTTTGGCTACAAAACAGCACTGCCTAGGAAAACCTTTGTTGATCCTAATCTTCCAGAAGACCTTCTGGGAATTAGACTGACTCCTCCTGTTCTGAAGCAGCTCTGGTCTTGCTAGTATGAGACAACTCTCATTTGAGAGAACTCTATTTGGCCAAACTTTTTTCATCACATAATGAGAATTTCTCATTTCAGGTTTTCCTAAGTAGAGCTTTGATGCTACATGAACTAGACTCATATAATCTCTGTCTTCCATTCTAGTGTTTCCAGTATTTTTTTTCTTCTTTGTTGGCAACTTAATCAGAAAATTTCTATTTATTGCTTTCTAAAAACTCATTTCAAATAGAAGGACAGGGTGAGGGGGAGGGTTCTGTCTTTTCCCTCCAAAGTATCAAATTCATGAGCTGCAGGCAATGCACAAAGATTTTTTGAGGGTCTTGCTGTGTGGACAGCACTGAGATCATTAGCATTGTAACCATTTCTTCTTGTTCTGCCAGACCAAATTGTGCCCAGAAAGCTTCACAGTAACAGTATTCATTACTGTGATATGAGCAGAATGATCTGCAGAAATGGAAGGAGGAGATGAGGCACTTTACTCTTAATTAGAATGTATTACTGCTGTGTCGTTTATTGCCTACCACATAAGATTTGTTCCTTTGGCACTGATAGTTATGCTAAGCTCATTTACACAACAGGTATGTATCAAAGCTGTGTGCTTTAATTTGGGGAAATCTCCACTTTGGGCCAAGGTAGTAGGCAGGTACCCTTAAAGAATATTTATGCTGTCCTGCACGGACTTGTCATCTGTGATTTTTTTTTTTTTTAAGAAAACATTCACTGTCAAAATTAACAGATAATTAACATCTATTGCAATCTGCCAGTCCTGAAGAAGTCTGTTACTGAGTTGACAAATGTAAAACTGTCCTTTTCTTGCTACTGTAAATTTACTTGTAGATTC